AGAATCCCAATATCCCACGATTCCATAATTCCAGAACTCCGTGATCCCAACACCCCACAATTCCACAATTCCCTGGCTCCACGATCCCATCATTCCATGATTCTCAAAGGTAAAACTCCATGGGCTCCGAGACCTTTCCTGAATCATTCCACAATTCCATGCTTTGATTCCACAATTCCGTGATTCCTTGATCCCATAATTCCATGATTCTCAAACCTTGAACTCAATGGTCTTGGAGACCTTTCTCAACCTCAGCCATTCCACAATTCCATGATTTGATCCCACAATTCCGTTATTCCTTGATCCCATACTTCCATGATTCTCAAACCTTGAACTCGATGTTCTTGGAGCTCTTTCCCAACTTCATCCATTCCACAATTCCGTGATTCCTTGATCCCATAATTCCATGATTCTCAAACCTTGAACTCAATGGTCTTGGAGACCTTTCTCAACCTCAGCCATTCCACAATTCCATGATTTGATCCCACAATTCCATGATTTGATCCCACAATTCCGTGATTCCTTGATCCCATACTTCCATGATTCTCAAACCTTGAACTCGATGTTCTTGGAGCTCTTTCCCAACTTCATCCATTCCACAATTCCATGATTCGATTCCACAATTCCATGATTCGATTCCACAATTCCATGATTCTCAAACCTTGAACTCGATGGTCTTGGAGACCTTTCTCAACCTCAGCCATTCCACAATTCCATGATTCCTTGGACCCACAATTCCACTATTCTCAAACCTTGAACTCAATGGTCTTGGAGCTCTTTCCCAACTTCATCCATTCCACAATTCCGTGATTCCTTGATCCCACAATTCCATGATTCGCAAACCTTGAACTCGATGTTCTTGGAGACCTTTCTCAACCTCAGCCATTCCACAATTCCATGATTTGATCCCACAATTCCGTGATTTGATCCCACAATTCCGTGATTTGATCCCACAATTCCATGATTTGATCCCACAATTCCATGATTCCTTGATCCCATACTTTCATGATTCTCAAACCTTGAACTCGATGGTCTTCAAGCTCTTTCCCAACTTCATCCATTCCACAATTCCATGATTCTCAAACCTTGAACTTGATGGTCTTGGAGACCTTTCTCAACCTCAGCCATTCCACAATTCCATGATTTGATCCCACAATTCCGTGATTCCTTGATCCCATAATTCCATGATTCTCCAACCTTGAACTCGATGTTCTTGGAGCTCTTTCCCAACTTCATCCATTCAGCTCTTTCCCAACTTCATCCATTCCACAATTCCATGATTCGATTCCACAGTTCCATGATTCGATTCCACAGTTCCATGATTCCTTGATCCCACAATTCCATGATGCTCAAACCTTCATGGTCTTGGAGGCCTTTCCCAACCTCAGCCATTCCACAACTCCATCATTCCGAATTGCCAGGATTCTCCGAGCTCAAACTCCGTGTTCTTGGAGACCTTTCCCAACCTCAGCCATCCCCCGATTCCACGGATGCAATCCCAGCTCTCATTCCCCGCCTTTCCCCCGTGAATCCCAACATTCCCGGCTGCCACAAATCCTCCCTCGGGCCTCACCTCTCCCTTTTCCCTCCCTCCAGCGACCTCCAGGCTCCCTTGGAAAGCTTGGAATTGGCCTTCTGCTCCCTCGTTCCCGCCGACCTCGCCTTCCTCTCCCAAAGCTTCCACGCTCCCGCCCTCAAAAGGTTGGATCTGAGCGGCCACGACTTCTCCCAAGGCCTCCTGGAGCCGCTCCGGCTGCTCCTGGAGGAAACCTCGGCCTCGCTGCTGCACCTGGATCTCATGGAATGCCGCATGGCCGACTCGCACCTGGACGCGCTGCTCCCGACGCTCCGGCGCTGCTCCCGCCTGCGCTTCCTGGGACTCTACGTCAATTCCCTGTCCACGGCCGCGCTCAAGGATCTGCTCCAGAAAACCTTGGAGCTGCCCGATCTCCACCTGGTCGTGTATCCCTTCCCCGTCGATTGCTACAAGCCGGAGCCCTCGGAATTCGATTGGAATTTTGAGGAGCCCATGGACGGGGAGCTTTTGGAGGCGGTCGAGGCAGAGTTTTCCCAAATGCTGGCGAATTCCGGGAGATCCGACCTCGTCTGGACTTCCAATCCCTACGGCCACGGAGCCCTGGACTATTTCTCCTTGTGACTCGGGAAAAGCTCCATCCCTCTTCCTCCTCCTCCCCAAAATCCAGTTGTTTTCCGCCTCATTCCGGTGGTTTTTCCTTTTATTTCGGTGCTTTTCCGCCCGATTTCGGTTTTTTCCCGCCTCATCCCGAAGTTTTCTGTCTTATTTCAGGATTTTTCCTCCCCCATCCCGATATTTTCCCCCTCATCCCGGAATTTTTCCGCCCCGTTTCGGTGTTTTCCCACCCCCATCCCGTTGTTTTTTTCCCCCCCTCTCTTTTCGCAGAACTTTTATTTCCACATCCAGACGGACAAAAAAAAACCCCCCAGAATTCCCTTAATTCCCGTGGGTTGTTAATGATTTACGAGTTAATTATTAATTAAGGATTATTAATTGCTGGTTGTTAATTAATTATTAATTAATAAGCCGCCACAGCCCCAATTCCATCCAAATCCCTCTCAAATTCCCAAATCCTTGATCCCAAATCCCGACCCCGCAAGGAAGAATCGACAGAACAACTTCCATGCTTTTTTTGGGGAATTTCATGGGAACTTCATGGGAATTTCAAGGGAATTTCATGGGAATTTCACGGGAATTTCACAGGAATTTCATGGGAATTTCATGGGAATTTCACGGGAATTTCACGAGAATTTCACGGGAATTTCACAGGAATTTTATGGGAATTTCATGGGAATTTCACGGGAATTTCAAGGGAATTTCATAGGAATTTTATGGGAATTTCATGGGAATTTCACGGGAATTTCATGGCAATTTCATGAGAATTTGATGGGAATTTTATGGGAATTTCATGGGAATTTCACGGGAATTTCAAGGGAATTTTAAGGGAATTTCACGGGAATTTCATGGGAATTTCATGGGAATTTCAAGGGAATTTTATGGGAATTTCAAGGGAATTTTATGGGAATTTCACGGGAATTTTTATGGGAATTTCAAGGGAATTTCACAAGAATTTTATGGGAAATCCACGGGAATTTCAAGGGAATTTCACAGGAATTTCATGGGAATTTCATGGGAATTTCATGGGAATTTCATGGGAATTTCACGGGAATTTCACGAGAATTTAATGGGAATTTTATGGGAATTTCAAGGGAATTTCACAAGAACTTCACGGGAATTTCACGAGAATTTCACGGGAATTTCAAGGGAATTTCACAAGAACTTCACGAGAATTTAATGGGAATTTTATGGGAATTTCACAGGAAATCCGCGGGCATTCCGCTGCCCGGAATTCCGGGACGCTCCAATTCCTTGGGAATCCGTTGGCAATCTCCCGCTTCCCGCGGGAATCCTTGGCAACTCCGCCTCATTCCGCGCTGGATTTGACGCCTTCAACCTCCCATCCCGATTTTTCCGCCCGCAGAATTCCCAACAATTCCCCGGAGAGCCGATACCTCCTCCCTTCCCACACGAAATGCGTCGGGGGCTTTTCCGCCCCTTCCTCGAATCGGAATTCCGAGCTCCACTCGGCCGCCAGCGCCGAACGCACCAATCCCACCCCTCCGGCTTTTTCCGGAGCCGGGTGGTAAAGCCGCCCGTTTTCCGGGAATACCGCCAGCATTCCCGGCTGGAACGGCACCGTCAGCCGGGAGCCGCCTCCGCAGTAGGAAAGGAGGGAATTCCCGCCGGATCCGGGCAGGATTTGAGTGAAAACCACGGGAACGTCGTCGCAGCGCAGGAAATTCCGCTCCCGGCCGCAGCGGGAAAGGAACGGGAATTCCGCCTGGTAACGCCCGCTCCGGTTCCGCTCCAGGCGCTTGAAGAAGAAGGAGAGGAATTCAACGTCTGGCGGGATGGAGGAATTCATGGATCAGATCCCGGAATTATTCCAGGGATTCCCGGAATTCTTCCAGGAATTATTCCTGGAATTATTCCTGCAGATCCCGGAATTATTCCAGGGATTCCCGGAATTCTTCCAGGAATTATTCCTGGAATTATTCCTGGAATTCTTCCCGGAATTCCGGGGCGGTTGATGAAAGGGGTTTTTCCTGCTGGGGTTTATGGGGGTTTTATTCCGGTGGTTTTGGGGGTTCTTGTGGAGTTTTTTGGGGTTTTTTTGGGGAATTTGAGGGATTTGGGATTTTTCTGGGAATTTGGGATTTTCTGGGAATTTCAGGGATTTGGGATTTTTCTGGGAATTTCAGGGATTTTGGATTTTTCTGGGAATTTGAGGGATTTGGGGTTTTTTTTGGAATTTGAGGGATTTGGGGTTTCTTTGGGAATTTGAGGGATTTTTCTGGGAATTTGAGGGATTTGGGATTTTCTGGGAATTTGGGATTTTTCTGGGAATTTGAGGTTTTTTCTGGGAATTTGAGGGATTTGGGATTTTTCTGGGAAATTGGGATTTTTCTGGGAATTTGGGATTTTCTGGGAATTTGAGGGATTTGGGGTTTTTAGGGAATTTGAGGGATTTGGGGTTTTTTTTTTGAATTTCAGGGATTTGGGGTTTCTTTGGGAATTTGGGATTTTCTGGGAATTTCAGGGATTTGGGATTTTTCTGGGAATTTGAGGGATTTTTCTGGGAATTTGAGGGATTTGGGGTTTTTCTGGGAATTTGAGGGATTTGGGGTTTTTTTTGGAATTTGAGGAATTTGGGGTTTTTCTGGGAATTTGGGGTTTTTCTGGGAATTTGGGGTTTTCTGGGAATTTGAGGGATTTGGGATGTTCTGGGAATTTGGGGTTTTTGGGATTTTTCTGGGAATTTGAGGGATTTGGGGTTTTTCTGGGAATTTCAGGGAATTTGGGTTTTTCTGGGAATTTGAGGGATTTGGGGGTTTTCTGGGAATTTCTGGGAATTTGAGGGATTTGGGTTTTTTTCTGGGAATTTGAGGGATTTGGGTTTTTTTCTGGGAATTTGAGGGATTTGGGTTTTTTTCTGGGAATTTGAGGGATTTGGGTTTTTTTCTGGGAATTTGAGGGATTTGGGTTTTTCTGGGAATTTGAGAGATTTGGGATTTTCTGGGAATTTCAGGGATTTGGGGTTTTCTGGGAATTTCAGGGATTTGGGGTTTTTTTTGGAATTTGGGTTTTTCTGGGAATTTGAGGGATTTGGGATTTTTCTGGGAATTTGAGGGATTTGGGGGTTTTCTGGGAATTTCTGGGAATTTGAGGGATTTGGGGTTTTTTTGGGGAATTTGAGGGATTTGGGATTTTCTGGGAATTTGGGGTTTTTCTGGGAATTTCAGGGATTTGGGGTTTTTCTGGGAATTTGGGATTTTTCTGGGAATTTGAGGGATTTGGGATTTTCTGGGAATTTGGGTTTTTTTCTGGGAATTTGAGGGATTTGGGATTTTCTGGGAATTTGGGGTTTTTTTGGAATTTGAGGGATTTGGGATTTTCTGGGAATTTGAGGGATTTGGGATGAAGGAAATGAGGAATTGAGAAAGGGAAATGCTTCCTAAAATTAATTAATTGAAAATGGATTAATGAATTAATTAATTAGGGAGTGTCTTCATTAGTTATGGAATCTCTTAGGTAATTAGGGAATCCAATAATTAGGAAATTTAATGAATGAGGGAGTGATTAATTAACGAGGAAATGATTAATTAATGGGGGATTAATATTCAAATTAGTGGGTCCCGCCTTTCCCAAGGCTCAACCCTCCCTAATTAAGGATTAAATCTCAATTAAGTCCGAAATCCCAATTAATGATCGACTCCTAATTAGTAATCGGATCCCAATTAACAAGGGGGCCCTAATTAGGGAGGTACCTTTGAAGCAGGTGATGAAATTCTTGACTTTGGTGTCATCCAGGAAAAGCTGTGGAAAAAAAAAGCCGGAAAAAAGCGGGAAAAAGCCTCAAAACGCTCGAGTTTTCCCGGGAAAACGGCGGAATTTTCCTCTGGGATGGGTTTGGGTTTAACCTGGATTTAATCCGGGTTTAACTTCGATTTAATTCGGGTTTAACCTGGATTTAATCCGAGTTTAACTTCGATTTAATTCGGGTTTAACCTGGATTTAATCCGGGTTTAACCTGGATTTAATCTGGGTTTAACTTCGATTTAATTCGGGTTTAACCTGGATTTAATCCGGGTTTAACCTGGATTTAATCTGGGTTTAACCTGGATTTAATCTGGGTTTAACCTGGATATAATCTGGGTTTAACCTGGATTCAATCCGGGTTTAACCTGGGATTAATCTGGGATCTGTCCAGGATCCATCTGGGATTTGTTTGGGGTCTGTCTTCATTTAATCCGGGTTTAACCTGGATTTAATCTGGGTTTAACCTGGATTTAATCCGGGTTTAACCTGGGATTAATCTGGGATCTGTCCAGGATCTATCTGGGATTTGTTTGGGGTCTGTCTGGATTTAATTCGGGTTTAACCTGGATTTAATCCGGGTTTAACCTGGGGTTAATCCGGGATCCATCCCGGATTCTCCCTGGGTTTTTTTCGGGATCTCTCTGGGATCTGCCCAGAATCCGGGTGGGATCTCCCCGGGATCCATTCCCCAGCACCCTCCAGACCCCCATCGATCCCCCATCGATCCCCCATCGATCCCCTATCGATCCCCTATCGATCCCTTATCGATCCTCCCTCACCTGCCCCTGGTGATCCACGTAATAAAAATACTCGCGGGTTCCAGGCCCCGACCGCTGCCCCTGCCGGTACCGGGGCCCCGGGCGCGCACAGAGCCGCAGCACCGCCCCCGCCCTCATCGCGACAGCGACAGCCGCGCGACCGGCGCCACCCGGAAGCGGCCACCTGGGGGACCGGAATGTGAGGGCACCTCGCGTGGTGCGGCGGTGAAAAGGTTCCGGGGGGGAAACGGAAGTGGAAGAACAGGGGCCGGGAGGGGTCTCCGCTGCTATAGGGACCCCTATAGCTCTCCAGACCCTATAGAATCCCCTCCAGAGCTTTCCTATAGGGCGTCAGAGCTTTACGGAGCCTCAGCCACCCCATAAAAACCCCCTAGAGGACCCTACTGGCGGTGCGTGCCCTCAGGGATCCCCTATAGATCCCGCCTCCCCCCGCCTTTTCCCGCCATTTTCCCCTGAGGGCCCTCAGGCCCCACAGGCACCGGGAGAAGCAGCGAGATGAGGGAAAAAGTTGGAAAATGAGGCGGAAAAACACCAGGATGAGGTAGAAAAACACCCGGGATGGGGTGGAAAAATATCGGGATGAAGGGAACAACACCGGGATGAGGGGAAAAGTTGTTAAATGAGGGGGGGAAAACAAAAAAATGAGGCGGGAAAATAGCGGGATGAAGGGAAATACACCGGGATGAGGGGAGAAACACCAAAATGAGGAAGAAAACACCAAAATGAGGAGGAAAAACACCAAAATGAGGAAGAAAACGCCAAAATGAGGAGGGAAATCACTAAAATGAGGGGGGAAACACCAAAATGAAGGGGGAAGAAGTGAAATCAGGTGGAAAAACACCGGGATG